ATAATATTGACTTGGTTCCCGGGGATTCATTGCTGAATAGACCACATTATCGGATGAGTCATATGGAGCACGAGGAGCTGCGCCGACAGGTGGAAGAGCTTCTTCAGCGAGGGGTGGTACGCATGAGTATGAGCCCGTGTGCCGTTTTGGCTCTTCTCATTCTGAAGAAGGATGCTTCTTGGCGGATGTGTGTAGATAGTCGTGCGATTAACAAGATTACAGTTCCTTATCGTTTATCGATCCCACGGCTCGATGATTTACTTGATCAGTTGCATGGTGCTACCGTTTTCACCAAACTAGATCTCCGTAGCGGCTATCATCAGATTCGGATTCGGTTGGGGGACGAGTGGAAGACAACTTTCAAAATCCGCGAAGGGCTATTTAAGTGGATGGTGATGCCGTTTGGGCTTTCTAATGCCCCGAGTACTTTCATGCGTGTGATGAATCAATCCCTTCGCGGCGACTTAATCGCGCAGTGTGTCGTCGTTTATTTCGACGACATTCTTATTTACAGCCGGTCGGTGGAGGAATATTTGCAGCATGTTCGATCCGTCCTCCTGGTCCTGCGGGAGGAGTCTTTTTTTGCTGCTCCTCATAAATGTTCATTCATGGTGGATTCTTTTTTGTTTTTGGGGTTCGTGATTGCGGCAGATGGTATTCGAATGGACGAGAGCAAGGTTTCGACTATTCGTGATTGGCCGACCCCGACATCTTTCACTGAGGCGCGGAGTTTTCATGGTCTTGCCTCGTTCTATCGTCGGTTTATTTCCCACTTTAGCTCGATCACCGCACCTATCACAGACTGCCTTACCGGCAAATCTTTCATTTGGACTCAAGAAGCGGAGACTGCTTTTGCCCTCATTAGGGTAAGTTGACTTCTGCTCTCATACTCGTGTTGCCTGATTTTTCTAAACCGTTTGAACTGTCGTGTGATGCTTCTAAGGTGGGGATTGGCGCGGCTCTCAGGCAGGACAATCGCCCGGTCTCATTTTTAGCGAGAAGTTATCGGGTCCTCGCATTCGGTACAGTACCTACGATGTGGAATTCTACGCGGTGGTGCGTGCTGTTCGCCACTGGCGTCATTATTTATTTCATCGAGAGATTATCTTGTACACTGACCATGAGGCCTTGCGACATTTGGCAACCCATGACAACATTTCCGCTCGGCATGCATCCTGGACGACTTTCTTGCAACAATTCACATTTGTCCTACGACATCGTTCGGGAGCTTCCAATAAGGTCGCGGATGCCTTAAGCCGTCGCACGCTACTTTTGACGGATATGAGAGTTGGTGTCGTCGGGTTTGATGTTTTACGTGAGGTGTATGCCGACGATTCTTTCTTTGGCCTGATTGTTCGTCGCCTCGGGACTGGTACTTTTGAGAACTACACGTTGAACGACGATTTTATTTTTCGCGGTCTCTGCCTTTTCATTCCCGACTGCAGCATACGACAACGGCTTATTGCAGAGCTTGTTGGGCGCGATCGTTTCATTGAGCTGGTTAGTTGGTCTTACTTTTGGCCGTCACTTCAGAGGGATGTCGCCCGTTTCGTGAGTCGTTTCCGTGTGTGCCATGTTTCGAAGGGAGTGACATCTAATGTCGGGTTGTACCGGCCGCTTCCTATCCCCGACCGACCGTAGAGTGCGGTGAGTATGGATTTCGTGCTGGGTTTACCACGTACGCAACGTGGTTTTGATTCTATCTTTGTCGTTGTGGATCGATTCTCGAAGATAGTCCACTTCATACCATACAAGCGCACCACCGATGCCCTTCATGTGGCCCTCTTGTTCTTTCGTGAGATTTATCGCTTACATGG